CCCAAGGACGACCTGGGCGAGGGAAGCAAGTAAATTTCATAAGAGGACCCTCGAATAGAGCATGGCGGAAAGCATGAAGGAAAGCGAGAGAGGAAGGGGGGGGGGGAAAGGGGGGAAGGGGTTGTGTTTTCCTTGGCGTCTGAAATGGACTGGAGACGGGTTTGGTTGTCGCCTCTTCTATCCCCTGGTCCTTTTAAATGATTATATATAGTCTAATTTCCATTTCGTACATGAAAGCACTGATAGTTCAGTGGTAGAATACCTGCCTTCCACCGAAAACAGCGAAGCATGTGGCACGGGTTCGATTCCCGTTCAGTGCATTCTTTTGTGTTCCCTCTCTTTTTCTTCCCCTCACAACACCGCCAGTCATCACACCACACAAACCCCTTCCCGTCGCATCGGGGAGGAGTTTGAAAAAAAAAGAAATATTTTTTTTCTAAGAAATGTAGCAGATCTGGGGCGATTTGCCTCTCGGACTCGATATGGGAAAAAGAAGAAAAAAGAAAAAAGAAAAAAAAAAGTGGTGGATGCAGAAGAATACCGGAAGGTTCGGTCTCGTTCGCGGTGGAACAGGAAGGGAGAGCGACATGTTCGGCTTGGGCTCCGAGAAAAGAAAGGGGAGGGGGGTCCCCCTTCATGAAAAGATCTTCGGAACGTTCTTCCAGGCCTTGTCCCACGATCCTTGCTCGGCCTCCTTTCGAGCCTTGAAGTAGTCCTCTCCGTTGGGCCCTCCAAACTTCCAGTCCTTGTCTCCCGCATCTTGGTGGAACCATCTAGGTTGGTGGCGGACGCCTTGCGCTTCCATCTTCCTCCTCCTCGCCCTCTGCTCCTCCTCGAGCCTCTGCTTGGTCGCCTCGGCCTGGTCCACCTCGCCGTTCTCAAAGTGCCTCTGGTCGGGTCGTAGCCTCGAGTCGGTCGGAGGCAGGACGCTCTCGTCGCAGCCCGGCGCGATCTCGTTGAGCGACATGGCAAAGTAGGTGAAACCGTAGTAGTCGTCCGCGTGCGGAGGCATCTCGGACGCCTCCCAGACGAGCTGGTAGTTCTCCTTGTCCTTCTGGATAGCAAGGTTGTCGGTCCACTTTCCCCTCAGGTGCGTCACCACCGAACCGTTCGCGTCGTACACGGTCCCGGCCACCGAGTTCCTGCTGCTCAGTCCTCCCCACAGCGTCCCCTCCTTGAATTCGATCACCAGCCTCTGTCCCGTGTTCTCGTTGGTCACCGTCAACTCGCCCACGTGCTCAAGGTACTTGTTGCCAGCCAGAAGGTTCCGCATGAACGACGAAGGCTTGACCAGCGTGAACGCGTCGCCGTCGTGCAGCTCGAGCCTCAGGCTGCCCTCCGGGATCAGCTCGAGCGATTTCCCCCAGAATTTGTTCTTCACGCAAGACCACCCGCTGCATGTCCAGCCCTTCCCCTCGGCGTGCGTCGCAACGATCGGCGGCTGGTGCACCACCTTTTCCGCGACGAACCTCAGGTTCTTGTCCTCGCGCAAGCACTCGAACGTCTCGCCGAGCAGCGGGTTGAAGGGCTTCCTGCTGGCGCGCAGCCTGGTGCTGGCGTATCCGCTCACCGCGAACGCTCCCACCAGGCAGATCCTCTCCACCCAGTCCTCCGTCTTGGCCGCCCTCCCAAGCAGCTCGGGAGCGTACTCGAACTCTTCCGCCGCCGCTTGGAGCAGCGAGAGTGGGCAGTTGAACGAGACCGGGAACGAGATCGTGGACAGGTCTTTGCCAACATTCTTCTTGAGCATCGAGAAGAGCGAGACCTCATCTCCCGACACTTTGGCCGGCAGCTTGGTCCTCCGTTGGATGACGGCTGACGACGACGAGACGCTGTCGGTCGGCGAACGCGAGCTCGGGAGAGTCGTTTCGTCCAGCCCGCTGTCTTCGTCGTCATCCTCGTCACCGTCGCTCGAAACTTCATCTCGGCTTACGTCTCCGTCATCCTTGCTCGTCTCGTCGTCGAGGACGTGCTCTTCACCGGCCATGCTGTCTGCATCGTAGAAGATGGCCGAATCGGTCTGCGTGGTCTGCAGCGAGCTTATGCTCATCCTCGACCGTGGCCGAGAGCCGGATTCCATCCCTGCGATCCCCTGCCTCGACTTGATCGAGTCCATCGTCCCTTGCGGGCCCGTCACCCTCGGGATCTTGCTCTCGATCGAGTTTTTGAGGTTGTCGTGTTCGGATTTCAGCTGTTCCAAGAGCGCCGCCAGAGTGTTCATGTGCGTCTCGACGCTGTTCTCACCTTTAGTCGTCCAAAAGGGGAGGAAGGGGTTGTTCGGATCGTGGAAAGTCGAAGAGGCTCAGTCGTAAGAAATAAAAGAAGGTAGATGGCACTGTTTCGTGGGCATATTCGGTCCTAAACTCACTCTTCGAGCTGAAGGCTCCGACGATCGCCTCGGTCGCCGTCTTTTGCCCTACGCCCTTTTGCTTGAGAATAGACACCTTTTCGTCCACTTCCCTGATCAGCTTCTCGCTCGTGTCCAAGTTGACGAAGACTTGGGATAGGTCCACGGCCACGAGGTCGGTGCCCGTGGAGACGTAGATCCTTGGGGCAGAATCAGTGGAGCGCTGCGGGATGAACGATCGAAGGTGGTTCCTCCAGGCCTCGAAATCATCCTCGTTCAGCATTTTGAGGTCTACCGGAGGTTGTGAGAGGAAGAGAGAATGGGGGGGGGGTCCGAGTGGGGTAGATCGGTCAGTCAAGGAAAAACTCGCATGCACCTCAGCCGAGGTCATCTCGCACTCTAGGCAAATCGAACGGACAAGGGACTCACGAAAGACGGAGGATCCACTGTCGACATGGATCGTACCTTTTCGAGAAGGGAAGGGAGGTGATTCAAGAAGGCTCGTGAGGAAACTGTCGGGGTCTTCCCGAACAAGGTCTCTTGGAAAGGCAGGGGATTACTCACCATGTCGCTTGGAGCTGGTCACGCTGGCATGGGGGATTTCGATGGAGTCCCTGGTGGGCTTGTCCGGGCTCATGGTGTACGTTAGAATGCCCTGGCTGGTCAGGATGAGGTACCTTTTCGCATAGCCTGGGGAAGGATTTCGACAGGAAGGTAGAGGTTAAGGATGAGGATGGGGCGACCACGATGGAATCCTGTCCTGGTACGGCCTCTCCTCCCTTTCGAGAAGAGAGATGGAAGAGCTCTGCTTTCCCCTCTTCCCCCCCCCCCCCCCCCCATTAACCCATCCATGCCACTGACTCACCTTGCATTTTTTTTCTCTTCTTCTTGAGCACCCAACCCGAGAAGACGATCTGAAGTTGATCGACGCTCTTTCCAGGGTTTGTGCCAGGGTTCAGGCTGGAAACCCTCTTCCCAGGGTTGGAAGGGTGATGTTCCAACTTTGACCTGCCCTTGTCGTGGTGACCCATCTTGTGTATGGGGATCCCTTTGGGACGTTGTTGGCTGCTTCTAGGTTGGTGGAACGGGATGGACTCGGAGAGGTCTTCGATGGCACTGCGCAGTGTAGTGCACAAGGATGGCGAAGGAGGATGGTGTTGGCGATCGACTAGGGACACGGGGTTGCGCGGTAGATCCGGAGGTTGGAGGGCTGGCCTGTCTAGCCTTTTTGCTATAGTTGCAAGGAGGATTTCCTCTTAGGGTTGTCCAAAGTTGAGTTGGGAGGAACTCTCGGGCATGGGCCTGCCTTTGTGCTTCCTCTCCTTTCTTTCCCTGGCTTGCCAACCTGCCCCTCTTTCGGCCAAGGAGAAATTTGAAAAGCAGCGAACTGGAGGCTACGCTGCGCTTCCAGGGATGTGGCGGCAAGGGCTAAGCGAAAAGGGGGGTGGGGATGCGCGCTTTCTATTGGGAGAGATCAAAGGATAGGTCCAAAGATCTTGGCCAAGGGATGGAGAGGGGAGAAGGAGGCCAGGGGGAGGGAATGACGGTGGGTGAGGGTGGTCGAGTTAGCCAACGTAAGAGCAGATGGTGAAACGAAAAAGAGGGTGGTTGATGATAAAAGGGGGTTGGGTTGGCTTGGAAGAGGGTAAGGTTAAGAGAGGTGAGGTGGATGGATGGATGGATCAAGCAAGGCTGAAGCGCTAGGTGGACAATCCGATCGTGTGGAGTCTGGATGTTCCAAGTAATCGAATAATGATGCGTGGATTCTTACTTTGGATCCTACGTTCTGTGTGGCACATCGCAGATGTTCGAATGTAGACCTCACTACAAGCTCACACTTACAGTACAATCGTGGCTCTGACTTCAAGTGGTGCTGTGATAATTACAGTACATGCAGTACATGCCACCCACCTTTGCGGGGAAGCCGCTTTCGTCAAAGGCGCCAAGGCAGGGAACCGCGGAAGTTGACGGATTTCAGGCACGAGACCAAAGGGGGGGAAAAACGAAAAGGTAAAAACGAAGAGTAAACGAAAAAGAAAAAGGACGGGCCGGTTGGGCGAAAGCGAAAGAAAGCGGGATCCAAAGCTGCTTCACCCATACACCTCCCAAATTCGCCGCTTCCTGCCCATCCTCGCCCACTCACAACATGCTGCCAGCATCATAGGTCGTCATCACAATTGTTATGAGAAGTTGACTGTGCGTACGTCTGCGAATCCACGCTGCAGATGTTTTCTTACGCTCGAATCTCCCTTGGGGAGGGTTTTCCTTGGGGAGAGTTTTGACCTGCGTTGTCCAAAACCTTTCACAAGCCATTAGGCTTTGATCCGATCGCAATTCGTTGCTCTCCAATCGCTTGCCAACCGGGGAAGAGGGAGGTTTAAGAGAGGGACGTTGAGTCTTTGGATGGGCATCGTCTCGAATGAGGAATAAGAAAACACCCCGAGAATCAAAGTCAGGATCGGCTCCTCCTCCCACCCATCCTCCTCTGTTGCATCGGGGTCGGGCGATCTCCACTCTTTTTTTTCACGAGCCAACCTGCAGAGGGAGAGGGAGGGCAGGGAGAGGGAGGGAGAAAGTGGTGACAACCCCAGTTCCGCTCTTCCTGCTTCAAGCGTCCCAAATCACCATCGCTGCCGTTCCATTCCGACCCTCGTTCCGTTCCACGTCCTGCACCTTTCTCATCCCTTACCCCCTACTCTTCCTACAATCCCAATCAAATGCGATCTCTCCCTTCTTCCTCCGTCTTGATTCGAATGATACCACCCCTTCGGGCTTTCATTCCCTTCTCCTGAACTCCGCATGAACCCCTTCTGGTCAAGCGCTGGACCCCAAGACCGAAAGACGGCTTGTCGTTCAACACTCTGCGGCTGTTGACGATTGACTTGTGTCCCCTCCTCCCCCTCTCCTTGACCCCCATTCTACTCTTCCCTCCCTCTTCCGAAGCCGTAACATCCAAGTCCTTCCAAGCCAAAA